CCCCCCTAAGTTCTTTGTCCAGTGATTTCCTTCTTATATCTCATTCTTTTTTTTTTTAAGATTTTATTTATTTATCTATTATGAGAGAGAGGCAGAGACCCAGGCAGAGGGAGAAGCAGGCTCCATGCAGGGAGCCCGACTCAGGACTCGATCCCAGGCCCCTGGGGTCACGCCCTGGGTCGAAGGCAGGTGCCCAACTGCTGAGCCCCCAGGGCGTCCGGCTATATCTCATCCAACCCCCGTGTTCACGCAGTGTGTCTGCTGGTGCGTTATGCCCCTCGCATATAAGCTCTAGAACTAGACCGCCTGCATCAAATGCCAACTCTGTCGCTCACTAAACATGTCACCTTGATTAAATTACCTAAATACTATGCCCTGGATTCCTGACCTATAAAATGGAATCTATAATAGAACCTTATTGTTAACCGTGCCTCATAAACCAATGTCGTGAAACTTGTTGATGCACACGAAGAGCATGAGCACCACCCGGTACACGTCAAGGGCCCGGCGAAAGTCAGCTTCTCTCTCTGCTGTCACTGCTGCTCTACCTTGGTGCCCGGGAAGAATGCGGCCTCCGAGGAGCTTATGACGGGCACAGGGTGTGTGCCGAACAAATGAGAGTGTGCAGGCCTGAATAGCAGGCCCCGGGAGTACCCAGGGAGCAGTCGGAGAGGTCAAGGGGTGACCTGGGGTGCTAGCACTGCCCGAAGAGGCACACCCCCAGACAGAGGCACCCCCGAGTCACAGGGCTCTGCTCCCAGAGCCTCTCGTGGCTCCCTCAGCCATGGGGAAAGCAAAGCAAAACAAAAATGGGTTCTCCTTATGTTTGGGAGGCTACGGAGGCTTTGAAGGCAAGGGAACCCTCGTGCACCGCTGGCGGGAATGCAAGTGACGCAGCCGCCGCTGTGCAAAGCAGGATGAAAATCCCCCGAGGCCTTAACAGTAGAGCTACCCTGTCATCCAGTAATTGCGCTGAAGATAAAGAGATAAAGCAAGACACAGACTCTCAACTATGGAGAGCCAACCAGTGGTTGCCAGGGGGCAGGTGGGACAGGGATGGGTGAAGGGGAAGGGGACGAAGAGCACCCAGCAATGAAGGGAATTGTTGGATCACGTATTGTGCTCCTGAGACTAACAGAAGGCCGTGTGCTAACGGCACTGGGATTTGAGAAACTGAGATCACTCTGGGATCCCCAAGCCATGCATCTGCCCCCTCCTTGAGGATGCGGGCCAGCCTCTGCCCACAGCTGAGGAAGAAGGCAGCCCTGCTGGAGAGGGAAGGGGAGGGAGGGAGTCCTGGAGACCAAAGCACCATCTCCAGTTTGTTATGGGGAAACGACAACGTTCAGAATCCAAAGCTCTGACCAGAGACCCCCGAGGAGAGAGAAGGGCTGAGGGGCTTCCTCTCCGTTGTCTCTCCGGGCCATGAGCTCGGCCACCCGCGACAGCGCAGGCACACGCTCCGTGAGAGCCCACGGGAACGTGCCCGTGTCTGTCCCTGCCTGCCGGGCGCTTTGGGGCCTTGGGGAGTTCACCCTGAGGCCCTTCCTCTCAACTCCCAGCACCCATGGGGAAGGGGCTGGTGAGGGAGGGTGAGCACCTGCAGCGGGGGTGCTGCTGGGGAGTCTTCCTCGACCACTTGTCCATTCACCTGGGCACAATCCGCGCTACAGATCCCGGATCCCGGGGCAGGTGATGGCTCCCTAGGGATGGGGCTTCCACAAGCCCCGCCCTGGACCCCAGAGAGGCAGAGGGCAGCTGGGCAGCTTTGTTACCTCTCAGGGGTGGAAAGGCGGCCAGAAAAGGAAGTGTCATGACCAATGGGAAGGCCACAGCGCCTGCTGGAAGAGGGGCCCGGCAGAGGCAGAGGGAACCCGCAAGGGGAACAATTAACTGATAAGAACAAACTAATTGTCATTCATATTAAATTAGGGCACAGGTGATTTGGAGAAAACCTACAGACCCTCCCAGATGTTTCTTGGGTTTTGCATTGCAGATGATGGCTTTATGGAACCCTTCTGGGAGCCGGGCTGCAGGAGCTGGGCCAGGACCAGAGCAGGGGCAGGGCTCCCATCCTGTTCAACCACACAGTAAACACATAACAGCTTGTCCCAGAGGACAGACCCAGGCCGTGCATACTAAACATTTCGGTGGTAGGTTTCGGGGGCCTCTGAGGAGAGGGGCTCACTGACCCCTGGCAGGGAAGAGGGGGAAAGGGAGCTGCAGGGGCTGCTCCAGATGTTTGGAGCAAGGGCTGACTCGTGGGATGCACGGAATCCAGATGTGGAAGGGAAGGATTTCCACAGGCCTGCAGAGGCCAAGCAGGAAAACCGAGAAAGGGTGACCGTTACGGCCCCAACCACCTTGCGGGGTGCGGTGCGTGGGGGTGGGCTCGGGCAGGCACCCACGCATGCACGCGTGCACGCACTTGAGGCCTAGGGGAGCTGTGGGTGTCTGCGTGTGCATCGGCCGCTGTGTGCACATCTGGTGTCTATATGGCTGTTTGTGTATTTATACGTGTTCACGCGCTTGGGGTGTTGCCAAAACTTCCCACCGAAACTAATGGCAGGCTGTTCCCTCTTCACTGAGGCTTATCATGCTAATTTTAATCCCACATTATTGTTTTAAGTTGGCTCTAAAAATTAATATTAAAAAATTCTGTAAATAGAGCCTGGAGCTAAACTGCAAGACAGGTCCCTAGAAAGGGGTTTTATTACCGCTCTTGTTCTTATAGGAATAGTGAGGGTGAAGCCTGTCGCCCATCCTGTTCCATCCGATTAGCCTCCCATCAGCGGGAGGGAGAGCATCGGAGAGCAGAGAGCGCCTGTGGTCACCCGCCGCAGCGTCTTCGCAAGGGGCCTGAGGCTCTTCACGGCCTGGGCGTGGGCTGGGCGTGGGCGGCTGGTCCTGGGGAACTGGGGGAAACACGCTCATGGCCCACACACTGCTGACGGTGACATCGTCCTGGGGTTCGGTTCCCTTGCTTGTAAAATGGGGGCCAAGAGTAGTCGGTCTACAAGGGCGCTTCTATCCCGCCACTTGGGGATTGTGTCTCCAAGGCCGCTGGTTTCATGGGGGCGACAGGCAGTCCCGCGCAGCAGGCAAACTCATGGCCGGGGCCCTCCTCTGTACCCTGTGACCTGCCCCTTCCTGCTCCAGTTGGTGCGCAGGGGACGCAGAAGGTGGAGACAAGGACAACCGGGTCCCCAGAAAGACTGTCTTCACAGGGTCCAAGGAGCAAGGGTGACTCCAACAGGGGATGGAAAAGGAGTCCGGATGGCTGCAATCCACGGTTTGCTGGGAGAACGGGGACAGGACCCGGTGCTGCAGCAGAAGGTACGTGGGTTAGATTTGGAAGAACTGGGAACCCCGGGTGGCTCAGAGGTTTGGTGCCTGCCTTTGGTCCAGGGTGTGGTCCTAGGGTTCCGGGATCGAGTCCCATGTCGGGCTCCCTGCATGGAGCCTGCTTCTCCCTCTGCCTGTGTCTCTGCCTCTCTCCCTCTCTGTGTGTCTCTCATGAATGAATAAATAAATAAAATCTTTAAAAAAAAAGATTTGGAAGAACCTTCTTGCTGGGAAGGATGCCTGGTGACCACAGGAAAGGAAGAGGGAGCGAGAGGGAGGGACAGCTGTCCCCAGACGCAGAATTAAGCATATTTTCTAATATGTGTGAGATGGTGCAGATGATGAGGCCCCTTCCTCAACTCAAGATCCTGACCAGAGTGGCTGGTTTTGAGGCCCGGCCCTGCCCCTGCAGCACCACATATGTTCAGGAGAGAGCAGGGCAGCGGCTGGGTGGTAACCAGGGCAGGGAAGGGTTAGGGGAGGCGACCCTGCATCTCAGCATCTGCCCTGGGCGGGCAGAGCCACGGTGCCTGCTCCTAGTACTTTGATTCATCAAAGGGAAGAGGGAAGAAGGCTGCACACCCTGTGGGACACTTTGAGCTTCTAAAGAACAATGACATCCTCTGGCTCTGCTTCCCCTGAGATCCCCACTTCCTCTGGGACCCCCACTTCCCCCAGGCCCCCACTTCCCCAGGACCCCTGCTTCCCCCAGGACCCCTGCTTCCCCCAGGCCCCCACTTCCCCAGGACCCCCACTTCCTCCAGGCCCCTCTGTTGCCCCCAGGCCCCCCTCCTCCCCCAGTCCCCGTCCCCCGGCCCTGCTCCAGGAGCTGGCCTCCCTGGGCTGTGACGAGCCCCGAGGGGCCCTGCCGGCAGGTGCCCGCGGCGAGGGCCAGCCGGGGGGTGCGGGTCCTGCAGGCGCCGGGAGCCTCCGCACACGCTCCGCCGCCCGCACACGCGCACGTGCCCGCGCAGGACTCCGGGGCCCCCCCCCAGCTCCCCGCCCCCCGCCCCCCGGCTTTGTCCTCGGAGCGTCCTGGGCGCCGAGGGGGGCACTCGGGGCGCCGCCCCCCCCCCCCCGCCCCAGCTGGCCGCCCTGCCGCGGAGCCCCGCCCCCGCCCGCCCGCCCGGAGACAATCACCCTTTGAGCGCGGCCGCGGGGCCGGGAGCAGCCGGCCGGGGCGGGGGGGCGGGGGCCGCGCTTTAACCCTCGGGGCCCGGGGCGGGGACGAGACCAACCCGCCCCCCCCCCCTCCGCCCTGCTTGGTAGCGCCCGGGGCCGTGCGGGTCCCGCCGGCTGCTCGCGCTCGGGGCGGGGGAGGGGAGCGGAGGGGAGCGGAGGGGAGGGGAGCGGAGGGGAGGGGAGGAGAGGGGGCGGGGCCCGCGCGGGGGGCGGGGGCGGGGCGGGGCCGCTGTCACCGCCGCCCGCACCCGCACCCGCACCCGCGCCCGCGCCGCCGCCGCCGCCGCCGCCGCCCAGGGACCCGCGCCGCCGCCTGCCGGCTCCGGCCCCGCGCCCGCGCCCCCCGCGCCCCCCACGCCCCGCGCCCCCCGCCCAGGCCCCGCCGCCCTCCGCGCCCCCCGCGCCCCCCGCGCCCCGCGCAGCCGGGCCGGGGCGGCTATGACGGGGCTCCCGGGGGCCCGGAGCCCGAGAGCGCCCGGGGCGGGAGGAGCGCGCGGCCCGGGGCAGCAGCCGAGGGGCTCGGGGCCCGGCGCGTAGGGGCCGCCGCCATGGACTGCGCCGGGGCCGCTCCGGACTCGCCGCCGCAGGTCAGTGCCCGCCCCCGCCCCCCGCGCCCCTGCACCCCCGCCCCCGCCCCTGCCCCCGCCCCCGCGGTGCCCAGGCCGTGGCCCCCGGGCGGGCGCGGGGCCGGGGACGGGGCCGGGGGCGGGGCGGGGGCGGCTGCGGAACACACCCCGCGGCCCTGCCCTGCGCCCGCCTGGGGACAGCTGGCCCCGCACCTGCCGGCCGCCCCGAGCCTCAGCAGGTGGTTCCGGGCGCGCGGGGAGCCTGGGGCAGCCCCCTGCACCCCGCGCCCCCCGCCCCGCGCCCCTGCACCCCGCGCCCCCCGCCCCGCGCCCCTGCACCCCGCCGGGCGCAGGCGGCTGAACTCCCCGGGCTGCCCGCCGCGCGGCCGCACAGGGTCCCCGGGACCCCGGAGCACCAGGACCAGGACCAGGGCCCGGGCCCCGCGGCACCCGAGGCCTCAGGCCTCCCGAGCCCAGCCGACAACTTGAGAAAGGGAAGCCAGGGGCGGGGGGCGGGGCTGGGGCAGGGTCAGAGGACGGGGGAGCCGCGGGACCCCGGCCGGAGAAGAGAAGGGAGGTGACGGCGAGCCCGAGCCAGACGCCCGCCCCTGACACCCCTGCCCGCCGCGGCCACAGAAGGCCCCACGGCCTCCACCCGGCCAGGCCGGGGCCTGGGACTCCCGGGACGAGTCCCCGCAGAAGCTGCGGCGGAGACTCCCGGACCTCCAGCCCCGGCCCGAAGGGGCCTCCGCGGGCACCTGCCGGCCCTGCGCCGGGCGCTCCACCTGCGGGGCTGGTCCGGGAGGCGCTGCGGGAGCCAGTTGGGCGCCGGGGAGCAGCCTCGCTTGGAGGCTCCGAGCGCTGGGAGGTCGGTGCTGCTGGGGCGGGGGGGGGGGGGGGGAAGCTCCGGCTTCCTGAGGTCCTGGGGCCGCGGGGGAGCATAGCTCCACGGGGTGATGCTCCGGGGTTTTCTAGGGTCTGCATGTCCCCCACCTCTGCCAACAGGGGCCGTCTCCCCCGAGCTTGCCTGACTGGCGACCAGGGTTGGCCTGCCTGGCCCGAACCACACAGCCCACTTCCCTCGTGCAGAGCAAAGAGCCTCCCCCAGACCCTGTAAGAGAGGGTCCCGTCTGCCCAGGCACCCCCAGCACCCCCAGAGGGTCTGGGGACCATGCCATCTGCCTTGCGCCTCTCGGTGGGAGCGGGAAGGCCTGCCAGGGCTCACGGCTCGGGGAGGGGCACGGAACTTGGGGCCCACTCTGTACCTGACCCTGGGTGCCGGGCAGCCACTCTGTTCTCAGGCGCTTGGAAGCTCGGGTGGACCGGACTGAGTGTGTGCAGGGAGGTCGCGCGTGGGCAGGCAGGGCAGGTGCACCTGAAGCCTGGGGCAGGCAAATCCCAGGATGGGACAGGACCAGGGTGTGCAGCAGCCACCCGGCTCCCCAGGAAGGCACCATGAGGGCAGAGGTACCCCAGGTCTCTGGCCCGGAGCTCCCCACCACAGTCCCTGAGCACTGGGGGCCAGGCCGGCCGTGCTGGCTCCGAGGCACAGGGGGAGGCAGGCCGGAGCCCTGCAGGCATGAGAAGTGCAGGCAGCCGGCGAGTGGGAGTCGAGGGCTGGAGGACTGGGGTGCTGGCTGAGCCTGGCCCAGGGGGAGGAAGGGGAGAGCTGCCTGAGGCCGCCGCCTCCTGACCCTGGAGGAGAAGCGAGGCAGAGCCTGCAGCCGGCAGGGGAGCCAGCCCGAGACAGCAGACAAAGACAGAGGAGCTCGCCCACAGCCCACAGGACGACGGGGCGGGGGCAGCGGCACAGCTCCAGCTGGCCCAGCGGTGCTGTGGGGCCAGCGCAGGGCCCTCCCGAGCGCCCCGGGGTCGGCAGTCACCCACCAGGGCAGGGGCTCCTCAGGGAGTCTGCTTCCCTGGCTCTGAGCAATGCGGGGGAGGGTTCAGAGGGAGGCCCGAAGGCCAAAGAGGGCTGGCTGGTGGGCCAGGGGTCTTGGGAGGACCTTCTTGCCCAACCCCAGTCCTGAGGGCCTCCCGCATCTCCTGGCCCCTGCCCCAGGGCCCTTGCTGGTCCTGGGATGCCGTGGGGTGGGGAAGGGTGTGGACTCTGGGGAGAAGGAACAGAGAACCCTCCTTGGAGACCCTGCCGAAGAGCCTCGGGGCCACGGGAGTGGTGCAGTGCACAGTGCCGCGCTCAGCCAGGCCTGGGGGCCCAGCTCTGTTCCCTGCAGGACCAGCTGAGTGGACTTTGGGAAAAGTCGAGCCCTCTAGGCTCCAGTTTCCTAACGACCCTAAACTCAAGAGGCCGCCCCTCACCTGGCTGTTCTAGGGGATGTGCTAGGCGAATGCTCATTTACGTCCTTATTTCCCCCATCGTCTTCCAGGATCCGGATGGCTCTAGAATTTGGAGTAGCCATTCTGTGCCGTCCCTGGAAGCCATCACTCTGGGGTGCTTACAGCCCCCCTGTCCCCCACGCCACCCCAGCTGGCCGTGCCCCTGCTGCAAGGACATGCTCAGGCCTCCTTGGAGCAGCAGCAACAGCGGTGTTTCCGCGTCTAATCAGTGGTCAGTGTAGGCGTTCCAGCTCCTCAGCCCATGTGGGCCTGAAGCGACTGAAGCGACTCGCGCGAGCTCTAGCTCCGTGACCTCTTGTCATCCCCGCTGAAAGACGGCAAGGTACACGGACATCACTCAAAGTTCCTTTCACTTCCGCAGACGTTGACTGAGCACCTACTGTGTTCCAGGCTCTGGGCCAGTGCTGGGAACATAAGGCATCAAATAATCCCAAATCAGGAGTTTTTATTTAGCCTTTGGAAAGGGTTATGTGGGTTGCTTTTTTTTTTTTTTTTTGCAGCTACAGCAAATTTACTTTTCTAATGAGGTTCAGCTCCAGCCAATATGAAAATGAGTCTGTGTTCACTGTGCACACCAGCTGACAGCAGGGCGGGCAGCCTCCCAGCCAAATGCCTGGCAGGGATTAGGGCTTCGCCACCAACAGGCCCAAAAGTGGAGGGTCTCTGCGGATCCCCAGGAGTTGGCTCGTGTTGGTGTAAAGCTTGCCACGGGGCTGTGTAGGTTCAGCAGGTACTAGGGCCACGGGCTGGGCTTCTGTCTCCTTGTTTGTGGGAACTATGAGCCGTTGCCATCCCTTTGTGGGGGAAGAAGGCTGGCGGGAGCAGAGACACGGCGGCGTGGCGCTGGGCACCTGCGGTGGAGGGTGGGACGCGGCCCCGGCTTGGGGCCGCCCTCCGCGACCCGTGCCTGTGGCTGAGCTGAGCCCTGTCACATCTCCCCATGCGGCTTCCTTCCCTGCGAGGCAGCTGGGCGCTGTGGCCTCCGAGGCTGTGCATCTCCATAGGCTCAAGACCCTAGGCTGCCCGTTTGACCGTCGCCCAGAGCCCAGGAGATGTCGGGCGGGCTCCCCCCACCCCCACCCCGCGCTGGACGGTCTCTGGTCTCTCTCCACGTTTCAGGAGCTCAGTCTGCACATGCAGTAGTGGCCACAGCGTCAGTGTCCCCGAACTACAGCAAGTCCTTCTAAAGCGCCGTTCTGGACTCGCCGCCGCTGGTTGAGCCTCGGGCTCGGAGCACGGACACTGGAGCCTGCCTGGCTACGATCACACGTGGCTCTGCTTCTTGGTGGTTGTGTGGCCTTGGGACGGGACTTGACCTGTGCCTCGGGCTTCTCGTCTCTAGGGTGGGGCTGATACTGGGAGGTATAAGGGGAGAATGAGTCCGTACAGTTCATCGTGAGGACCATGCGGAGCAAGTGCTTTGCCTACCAATTCCTGTTCCTCGATGTAACCTGAACGCTGAGCAGCTGTGCGCGGGCCGCTGCAGGGGCCAGGCCGGCGGTCATGAGCTCGGGCCCTTGCTCCCGTGCCTGGCTCCTCACCTGCGGAGGAACGGTGGCCGGAGAATAACCCCTGCACCACTCGGCTGCCGAGGGGCAGCGAGATGAGGACTGTGTCCTCCTTTGCCCGTGACACGTCCCAACAAAGAGGGGCTCACGTTTCCGGAAGTGGATATGACTTAAATTCTCTTTTTATCGCAACCGAAAAACATCCCGAAGCCCCCACCCCCATAAGTTTAAAATAAAAGGGGCGAATGTGGTCCTAGCTGCCTCCGGCATCTTGTTGGGCAGGGATGGAGCGGGCTTAAGGGGCTCTTGCCTGGGCCCCCCCACCCGGTCCCCAGGGAAGGAGCCAGGAGACAGCTGCCGGAGCTCAGCAGCCTGAGGAGCCAGGAGGGAGGGGGCTTGGTAGACAGGACAGAGACCCGGGACTAGGATGACAGGGCCTCGCAGGACCTCGCCTTCCTCATCTAAGTAGGAGCGTGAGCCAGGTGACCTGTCGGGGAGCTGGGTCGGGTAGCAAGGGTTCACCGCGGGTCGCCACGGCCTGTTGGGTGAACACCGAGGAGCCTGCCCACAGGGCTCTGCACGGCGCATGGATTCGGTGACGCCGGGCTGCTCCGTCTTTTCAGAGATAAGGAAACCGATGCCCAGAGAGGTTCCAGGCTTACCTCGGGTCTCTCGGCACGGTCGGGCCTCGTCCTAGACCACGATGTATGCGTCGCTGCTCCCTCTACTCCCTCCCGTCCACCCACCTGTCCCTGGGGAAGGACGACGAGCACCCCAGGGCAGCGGAGCGGCCTCAGCCAGGCAGGGTAGAGGCTGACACCGAGGCCCAAGGCCCCCTCCTCACGGCTGGGACAAGGCTCCTGTCCCCTCCCCTGACAATGGGCTCAAAGGACCAAGCTAAACTGTCTCTGGCCCAACCCCAGGGGGTGTCAGGGCCCCAGGCCACGGGCAGCACACTGAAAACACATATGAGACTTCAGTTAAGGCAGTGGACCCCTAACCTGCTCCACTGGAGCCTCTCGTGCAGTTGTCCTTTTCCATCCATTTCTGAACCTCGGCCGAAGTGTTCCTAGCCTGAGCCGTCACCTGCTGGTCCTAACGTCCTCTGGCCCTCATGGCCGCCTCTCTGGGGCCCCGCGTCCGGCAGTCCCCGGG